ATTTGGGGGACCTCAGTGTATTATCTGGGGATCTTTATTCGAGACATTTCAGTTTCTTCTGAGAAGGATCTCCCAATTTTCTGCCTGGAAAGTAAAAGCATGGCCACTTGCTTTCCAAAAGCAGAGTTAGCGAAGGAAGGTGGAAATCCATTTTTGGTATATAGTTTTCTTTATATCTCAGGTTTAAGACATGGTATCTCTGAGCCAGAAATTCTCAGGTTTGATATATCCAGAGAACACACATCTAAGTTTCATGTCAGATGGAAGGACAGGTGGACTTGGGACTCTGGTTAGAGATTTTCAACTGACCTTGCTGGCTTTTGTTTTACATTTTACCCAACTTTCCAAAGTGCCATTTGCCTGTTAAGTTCACAACCTGCCTTTAGTTCTGCAAGACAAACTGGCTCGCTTCGGTTCCAGTCACTTTCTGTAGGGACCAAAGTTGTGCTTCCGTGTTATTTACCACTCCTTTATCTACTTTTTATATCACAGCATTTATTAAAAATTATCTCTGTCAACCTTCTCTCCTGGTCATGTGTGTAACCTTTATTTTATGACTAATGAGACTTCTGGATTGTGGTCAATCTATTATATTTAATCCAAATTTAGGACCTATGTTTAAATCAAAGTCTAATTTGGGTATAATTAATGATATTAACCCAGAGAAGTTTTAAAACTAATGTATCTATAATAAGCATATTACACTTTTCTCCTAAGGCCTTGTTTAATATTTTCTTTCAAACTTTATCCACTGCCATATACTTCCCTTTACTTCACAACAGAGATGGAGCTGTTTTCATGAATGCCCAAAGTGTTAGAAATATTTAAGTTAATTAAGATTTGTTCATTTTTAGCCTGGTCAATATAGCAAGACCTCATGTCTACAAAAAGGTAAAATAACAAATTAGCCAGGCCTGGTGGCATGTGCCTTTCATTTTACCTACTCAGGAGGCTGAGGCAGAGGATCGCTTGAGCTCAGGAGTTTGAGGCTGCAGTTAACTATATTTGTACCACTGCACTCCAGCCTGGGCAACAAAGGGAAACCCTGTCTCAGAAAAAGGAAAAAAGTTATTAATTCTTTCAAAACATATCTAAAATTTGTCCTGCCCAAAAGGAGAGCAAAAAATGTGAACTTTAGTCTTTGTTTTATTTTATTTATGTTTGCTGAGAAAAATGCTGTACTTTATTTATTTATTATTTCTATAGGTTTTTGGGGGAACAGGTGGTATTTGGTTATATGACTAAGTTCTTTAGTAATGATTTGTGAGATTTTGGTGCACCCACCACCTGAGCAGTATCCACTGAACCCAGTTTGTAGTCTTTTATCCCTCACCCTCCTCCCAGCCTTTCCTCCGAGTCCCCAAAGTCCATTGTATCATTCTTATGACTTTGCATCCTCATAGCTTAGCTCTCACATATGGATGAGAACATATGATGTTTGGTTTTCCATGCCTGAGTTACTTCACTTAGAATAATAGTCTTTACTTTCATCCAGGTTGCTGGGAATGCCATTAATTTATTCCTTATTATGGCTGAGTAGTATTCCTTATATATATATAGGTGTGTGTATGTATATCACATTTTCTTTATCTACTCATTGACTGATGGGCATTTGGGCTGGTTCCATATTTTTGTAGTTGTAATTTGTTTGAGTTCCTTGTAGATTCTGGATCATAGCCCTTTGTCCGATGTATAGCCTGTGAAGATTCCCTCTCACTCTGTGAGTTGTCTGCTTACTCTGCTGATTGTTCCTTTTCCTGTGCAGAAGCTCTTTAGTTAAGTCTCACCTGTTTGTTTTTGTTGCATTTGCTATTGTGTTCTTGGTCATGAAATCTTTGCCTAAGCCAGTGTCTAGATGGGTTTTTCCAGTGTTATCTTCTAGAATTTTTATGGTTTCAGGTCATAGATTTATGTCCTTGATCCATCTTGAGTTGATTTTTGTGTAAGGTAAGAGTTGAGGATCCAGTTTCATTCTCCTGCGTGTGGCTTGCCAATTATCCCAGCACCATTTGTTGAATAGGGTTTACTTTCTTCACTTTATGTTTTAGTTGGCTTTGTTGAAAATCAGTTGGCAATAGGTATTTGAGTTTATTTCTGGGTTCTCTATTATGTTCCATTGGTGTATGTGCCTATTTTTGTACCACTACCATGCTATTTTGGTGACTATGGCCTACTGTTTTACATTTTACCCTACTTTCCAAAGTGCCATTTCCCTGTAAGTTCACAACCTGCCATTAGCTCTGCAAGACAAACTGGCTCGCTTCTGTTCTGCTCACTTTCTAGTATAGTTTGAAATAAGTAATGTGATGCCTCCAGATTTGTGGTTTTTGCTTAGTTTTGGTTTGGCTATGTGGGTTCTTGTTTGGTCCCATATGAATTTTAGGGTGTTTTTTTCTAGTTCTGTGAAGAAGGATGGTGGTATTTTTATGGGAATTAGGTTGAATTTTTAGATTGCTTTTGGCAGTATGGTCATTTTCACAATATTCATTCTACCCATTCATGAGCATGGGATGTCTTTCCATTTGTTTGTGTCCATGATTTCATTCAGCAATGTTTTGTAGTTCCCAATGGCATATCAAAAAGATAATCCACGCCGGGCACGGTGGCTCACGCCTGTGATCCCAGCACTTTGGGGAGCCAAAGCGGGTGGATCACGAGGTCAGGAGTTTGAGACCAGCCTGGCCAACATGGTGAAACCCCGTCTCTACTAAAAATACAAAAATTAGCCGGGTGTGATGGTGCATGCCTGTAATCCCAGCTACTCAGGAGGCTGAGGCAGGAGAATCACTTGAACCTGGGAGACAGAGGTTGCAGTGAACCAAGATCACCCCACTGCACTCCAGCCTGGGTGACAGAGCAAGACTCCTGGGTGACAGAGCAAGACTCCATCTCAAAAAAAAAAAGATAATCCACCATGATCAAATGGGTTTCATACCAGGGATGCAGGGATGGATTAACATATACAAGTCAATAAATATAATACACCACATAAACAGAATTAAAAACAAAAAATCACATGATCATCTCAATAGACACAGAAAAAGCATTTGACCAAATGCAGCATCCTTTTATGATTAAAACCCTCAGCAAAATTGGCATACAAGGGTCATACCTCAATGTAATAAAAGCCATCTATGACAAACCCACAGCCAACATAATACTGAATGGGGAAAAGTTGAAAGCATTCCCCGAGAACCGGAACAAGACAAGGATGCCCACTCTCACCACTTCTATTCAACATAGTACTGGAAGGCCTAGCCAGAGCAATCACACAAGAGAAAGCCATAAAAGGCATCCAGATCGGTAAAGAGGAAGTCAAACTGTTGCTGTTTGCTGGTGATATGATCATATACCTAGGAAACCCTAAACTGATAAATGAATTCAGGAAAAGTTTCAGGAGACAAAATTAATGTACACAAATCAGTAGCCGTGTTATACCCCAACAGCAACCAACCTCAGAATCAAACCAAGAACTCAACCCCTTTTATAATAGCTGCAAAAATAAAATAAAATAACAAAAATAAAATAAAATGCTTAGGAATAGACCTAACCAAGGAGGTAAAGACCTCTACAAGGAAAACAACTTTAGTATTTTTAATGGGTTAAAATGAGAAGCAGCAGGTACAGCGGAAGAAGTCAGTGGGCATCGGCATCCAATGTGTACTGGACCTTTGATGGTAAGGCTTTGGTTTTGACTTACTAAATTACTAGGTACAATTATTTTCTAGTTTTTGTTATTAAACCTTAAAACTACTAAGTTACCCCTTCCATTTCTTGTTAAAGATCATAACATTTCAAGCTCTGATTTATGCTGACTGATGTTAGATTGTTTCTATTTTGTGACTACCTTAAATAATACCTATAAACAGTAAACCGTTAGTAATGTTTTTGCTATAATTAAATGTAGTAAGACTTATCTTCCAAATTATAACTGAATTGTCAAACACTTGTCAAAGTTTTAGATTTACTCAAAATTCTATGCTCAGCAGCTGGAGGTAGGAAGAGTAAGGGCCCTCCATTACTCTTATGGAGAGGCATACTTTCTCATGGGGGGAATACTCTGCAAGAATTCATATCTTGTAAGCAGTGGTGAATGCTAATAATTAGTGTACAAACAAAAATTTTTTGGTGTGGCTGCCAACAAAGAGATCCAAGAGGGTAGATGGAGTCGAGCTTGCTGAAGCAAGGAAAGAGAAAAGCAGTATTCTAGGCAGAGAGCAGGATTGGAGCAGGAAAATGGCTAGGTGCAGGTCAGATGATTTATAGAATGAAATTGATCAAGTTTTGAAATGAATGGAAAGTATTCTCTGAGTCTCATTTGAGTCATGTCATGGCAGTCTTATTTAAACATGAAGTGAAAGTTAGATTTTTTTAAGTTGTCATCTGTTTTCAGGGTGTGAGAGAATATTTAAGTGACACTCTTTTTATCCTCCACATAAGAAAATAGGACTAGAGAAATCTGTGACTTCCTCGCTTGTTGGTGGCCTAGCAGCCCTGGCACACAGAGCCTCTGAATCTGAAACACTTCTTTTGTCACAATATCGCCTGAAATAATACATTTAGGATGAGTAATTTAGTAAATGCATTAGTCTTGTATTCACTGCAATAAAATGCTCTTGTACCAGTATTATTTAATACATTACATTTTATCGTAGTAAATAAATCATAGAAATAGAAATTCTTGGCTGCTTTATATTGCTGTAGAAAAAAACAATGAAATCTTATTTTAAACTTTTCTCATGATTTTTAAAGGGAATTCATGAAATCTTTGTTAGGTTTGATGACAGGTACCATATGAAGGGCAGCATTTTATGACCCATATCTTAAACATCGTCTCTGGAAGTTAAGAGCCTCCAATGGGTTCTCTGTAGAGTGCACATGATACCGCACTCAGGCAGTTCATGGAGTGTAAGAAATATCTTAGTGCTTTGTCATTTGACATTTTAACCAAGAAAAAATACACTTTGATAAGTTTAACTTACACTTCCCTTCCCCTTCAGGTATCTACTGTGCGTTTCAGTCAACAATACAGCTCATGTTCAACAATATTCCTTGATGACAACACAGCCAGCCAGCCTTATCTTACAATGACAATAATATCGTGAGTACAACTATACTGCCAAGGGATGGATTCCTTTATTCTAAAATTATTTCAGCCATTTGTTTTTCCTCTTCAGCAATCAGTTTAAGAAATTGGAGTCAACTATATATTGATATCCAGATTCTAAATATTGAGTATCAATTTCTCTTTTAATCTTAGATGTCTTGGTGGAAGGAAAAATCAGCAAAGAAACAATCCCAGAAAAAGCATATATTTTTTTAATGCCTTTATGCCTTGAGACACTGTTGAACTCAGTGAGAAGGATACGTTCCCTTTATTGAATGTTTCTTTGTGAAAACTTAGTTGTTCAGTGCATTATAGGCCTAAATCAGTGTGTACTACTTTCAACATTCGACTCAGAAGAAGGAACAGCTTTTCCTCTTCTGGAACCACAGTGTATCTGCATTTGAATTTCTCCCATTGTGCATGAGCACCTCGTGGGCCACAAAGATGCGCTTTGAGATCACCCTGAGATGAAGTTTATTTTAAAAGGAACAACAACCAACACCAGCACCAGCTCCATAGGGGCTGTCCAGTGTACATTATTATCATCTCCTGGGTCATGAGTGTTGATTTTGAGAACACAGTTTGGAAAGTAGTAATTTAGAATATTAATATTTTTATCTTTAATTTTACTATTCATTCTGTAAACATAACTAGCTTATAAACAATTTCATTTCAAATGCACTAGCCTTTTTAGCTAATTCAATTGTCAGTAACTTTTACTTCAATAAAAGTGGCAAGTTTATACTCATAATAATGTCACTTTCCTCCCTCCCTTTTAACAATAGTTGTGATGAAATTGTGTTTCAGCAAAAACTGGACTCAAACTCTATCTCAAGTCCTGAGCTTTGGGACCTGTTGAGTAATCACTAAATGTCTGTAGTCAGCCAAGTCTCTGAAATCTTTGAGCACACATACACCAAAAAGATAATCCAGCCAGGGGCGGTGGCTCACTCCTGTAATCCCAGTACTTTGGGAGGCTGAGGCGGGCGGATCATGAGGTCCTAGAGTCCCTGGCTGCTTTGAGTTCAAAAGATTTTGATGTGTTAGCATACAATTCAAAAATAGCTTTGAAGATTAATCTTGCTCAAACATATTTCATGTTTTTTTCCTCATTCTACTTTTTAGAAGTCTACTTTTGAAAGTAAAGTAAGTTTTAATTTGCCATCAGCAAGTTTGAGAAATAATCATTTGATATATTAACTATTGGTGAAATAAAGGTTTATTGAGCAAATTAATAGGGCAAATTGGCTTCAAGAAAAGATTCTGAAAAATGTTTATCACGAGTCAGTAGTGCAGTGTTGTCAGTGGGATAGGTGGAACTCACTGAGATCACTTATGCAAGGTTTTTTTTCAAAATACAGGTCTGCAAACACATGTATCTTCCCATCTCCACTTTCACTCTATCTCTAGGCACTGAGAAGCCTTTTAGGAAAATGGGATGGATGTGAGGCATCTCTATGTGAAGAAAGGCATCCCAGAAGATTCTGATTTTCACCCCAGCTCAATCATTCCAAACTTTGCTGCACATTGAAATCACCTGGGAAACTTTTACCAAAGACCTTGATGCCCAAAGTCATATCCAACACTAATTACATTAAAATGTCTCATGTTGAAGATGAGGCAGTTATTAAAGCTTCTCAGGTGATTTTAACATGCAGCAAAGTTTGAGAGCCACGGCTTCATTTGAGTTTAGGATGAGAAACTGCTCCTATTTGGTGGGATTTTGGGCAAGTCAGTTTTAAGGTTTGTTTCCCTGATCTGTAAAATGAGTGTTGAATTAAATGTCATGTAAGGTCATTGGTCCTTTCCAGCATGTAACTTTAAATTCCGTGATTTTAAAATTATTTCAGAGATGAAAACTACTTGAAGCACTATAGACATATCCATCTTACATGCTAATGTTTCAGGCTTTTTAAAAAGTGCTAATATTGTGTAGACCTATTAACTAAAATTGAGATTTGCTTTCCCTCAGTTGTTTTCAGCCTCACTCTACAAAATTAGCTGGGCATGGTGGTGCATGCCTGTAATCCCAGCTACTCAGGATGTTGAGGCAGGGGAATGGCTTGAACCCGGGAGGCAGAAGTTGTGGTGAGCCAAGATTGCACCATTGCATTCCAGCCTGGGCAACAAGAGTGAATCTCTATCCCAAAAACAACACACACACACAAAATTACCTGGGCATAGTGGCACAAAACTGTGCTGAGGCTGAGACTGGTGAATCGCTTGAACCTGGGAGACAGAGGCTGCAGTGAGCCCCAGCTACTTGGGAGGCTGAGGCATGAGAATCGCTTGAACCTGGGAGGTGGAGGTTGTGGTGAGCCAAGATCCCACCACTGCACTCCAGTCTGAGCAACAGAGCGAGATTCTGGGTCAAAAAATAAACACATAAAATAAATCGCATGGGACGAAAGGTTTTGTGGGCAGAAGAGCATATAACAGGGAAATCTGTTATTATTTATATATTATAATCGTCAACAGAAACGCGTCTTCTTAACAGCATATTGCCTCGCATTTTGGTTCTCATATTTTTGTGAAAAACCAAGAAATGAAAACAAAGTGCCCTTATGGTGCTGTTCTGAACTAGAAGATTTGAATTTCAGGGCCGTTAGGAGAGTTTCCTCTGCCCCCTTTTTAAAAAATGTCTTCAGGCCTAACAAATGGTAACATCTATTGTTATGAATTGTTTTTCCTTCCACAGAGTGACCTTGGAGCTACATCATGATATCATGCAAAGGTGAGCTTTTTAGAAACCTGTCTTGTTATTCTAGCTAATTACTTTGCAAGATACCAAGCTCAGTGTTAGGTCACAGTTCTAGACATCATAAGCTGTATTGTGCCTGCTAAAATATCGAAGCAAATTATTTGTGTTTTCTTTGGTCCTTAAGACTCTTAATTCTTAAATGATTGAGAATCTCAAAGAGTATGTGTTTATATTGATTATACTGATATTTACTGTGGTAGAAATATAACATTGAGATTTTTTTTCAAAATCTATTTTTAGTTTAGATTTCACTGTTGATATTATGAGCTACATAATGCTTTGTTGTGAGGACTGTCCTGTGCATTGCAGAGAGTTTAGTAACATTCATGGCCTCTACCAACTAGATGTCAGTAGTAACACATGACCCAGGTTGTAACAACAGAAAATATTCCTTGAGAACAATATTATTAACAGAAATTTTTCATTGAAAAAATAATTTTTCTACAATCAAAAGTTGAGTAAAAAGTGTGTCATGTATTTGTATTAAAGTCTCTCATGTTGAGCTTAATAGGAGACAACTGGATTCTCTAGATGTTTCTTTGCAATTTGCTTTAAAAAAGCAATAAGAGGCTGAGCACGGTGGCTCACGCCTGTAATCCCAGCACTTTGGGAGGCCAAGGTGGGTGGACCACAAGGTCAGGAGATCAAGACCATCCTGATTAACATGGTGAAACCCGCCTCTGCTGAAAGTACAAAAAATGGCTGGATATGGTGGTGCATGCCTGTAGTCCAGCTACTTGGGAGGCTGAGGCCGGAGAATCACTTGAACCTGGGAGGCAGAGGTTGCAGTGAGCTGAGATCTCGCCATTGCACCCCAGCCTGAGTGACAGAGGGAGACTCCATCTCAAGAAAAGAAAAAAAGAAGCAATAAGATGACCCAACCTCATGCAAACAGGTAGCTGGTAAAAGGTGTATTTTAAACTTTTCAGACAGTTGTGGGTATTCCTTAATACTAAATCAAAACTTCACAAGTGCTAGTTTCTTAAATTAGTTACAATGGCATTTTCCATATTAATAAATTTATTCCATTAGTACTCATTGATCTTTCTTGCACAGTAAATAGATCTTCCCCCCATACTTGCATTTATAATATTATGCATTAGTTACTTGGAATATATTGGTTTATGTTTTATTATGTCAAAAATCACTTTTAGTTTAATCACCAATCTTACTTTAAAACGCCTTTAAGTATTGAAAAGCTGTCAAGCCTACAGTAGAAGGAACAAGTTTTTCAAAGTCCTCAGGAAAGCTTAAATTTCATCATTGGGAACAAATACTCAATTTCCTTGAAGGAACAAACTCTCACTTCATTTATTTTTGAGAATGATAATTGTACTTCTTTTTTTAGACTGAGTCTCACTCTGTCACTTGGCTGGAGTGCTTTGGCATGATCTCAGCTCAAGCAATCCTCTCACCTCAGACTCCTGTGTAGCTGGGACCACAGATGTGTGGCACCATGTCAGGCTAATTTTCTTGCATTGTTGGTAGAGACAGGGTTTTGTTATGTTGCCTAGGCTGGTCTCAAACTCCTGAAGGAGCTCAAGCCATCTGCCAGCTTTGGCCTCCCAAAGTGCTGGGATTTTACAGGCATGAGCCACAGCGCTGGCCCAGTTGTACTTTTAAATAAAAACAATGTTCTGTGAAAAAATTGGTTGTTCAGTTCACAATTAAATCACGAATTCTTTTTTTAAAAAAAAAAAAACAACAACGACTGTACTGCAGTCAGCAGAAGCGCTTCTTGTTAACTTTCCACTTACCAGAATCTTAAAGAGACATGTCAAGATTTAATAACAACATTAATTTTTACTGCTTCATCAAAGACATTCTTAAGTAATTCAAGCTACCTTTTTTAACTGTAGGGGACAGTAAAGAATAGAGTGACTAATGTAATTGGTACCACTGCCTTGATTTATGCTGAGAAACCAGCAGTTTTACCCACTTTTGCTTTTATACAATCATGGCAAGTGTCAACGAAAAAGCAGGCAGTGACTTTGTATAAGTTTTACAAATTTTTAAATTTTTTAATCAGCTTTCTCAAGTTTAATTAGTATGATTCAGAACAGTGTTGGCCAAGCATAGTGGCTCAGGCCTGTAATCCCAGCACTTTGGGAGTCCGAGACGAGCAGATCACCTGAGGTCAGGAGTTCAATACCAGCCTGGCCAACATAGTGAAACCACATCTCTACTAAAAATACAAAAATTAGTCGGGCATGGTGGTGAGGGCCTGTGAATACCAGATACTTTGGGAGTGAGGTCAGGAGAAAAAAAAATTTTTCCCCCCCCCACTT